GCAAGTTTCCAAATCACCAGATGGTGCACCCCTCCAATGGAAACCAACGGGAGCCAGGCAGTTAAACCTTCCAGCCCCCACTTAGGGGCAGGAGAATTCATCCCTGCCCCACACTCTCTATTCTCCATTGTTCAGGTCTCACATGGGGGGTATAACCAAGATAGGGTGGAAATGCCATTGAATCATTGATGCTTTTAGTAAACAAACTTCTGGGCCCCCCATAAGAGAAGCCACAGCCGGACTGAATCCAGTGAGCAAATACGTGACAGGTTATCTGGACCTTGATGACTTTGCCACCCACCCACGAATGATATTTCCTCCAACCGTTTAAAGAGGAAACCAATATTATTGCGTGGAGAGAGGAAAAAACAATCAACAGATCATCCCATCTGACTTTGTGCAGTGCAGCCGCATGATACTCTAACTACTGACAAGAGGCTTGTATCTTGCCACAAGTAATCATCTGAAGGGCTGTACTTCAAAGAGCGATTGTTTTTCAATCTCTGCTGGGCTGACTTGGTTGTGTAACAGTGAAAACAAACCACCCCAACACATCACGCCTCTCACAGATTTTCTTTATTTTCTTAAAGACACGCTCACTCCATTCTCTACAGAAGGAGAAAGAACGGGACCTTGAAGGGCTGATGTTCTGTCTACATAGATGGAGGAGGTATGCCAATTTGGGCATGTAGCATGGCCCCATCTCTCACCTTGCCACGGTCACATATGGAATAAAAGCTCAGAAAAGGAGCTACAGAAAAGTCATTGTACTTGAAACAAGTATGGGAGTAAGAGTCTAATGCGTGCGTGCAATTCTCTTAAGTGAGCATGCAATTCTCTTAACTGTGCTACCCTCTGAGCTAAAAGCCAGCTGGCTCCCAGCCCATGCTGTAGAGGTCTCTTGGTCTTAACTGTTGCTGTGGTCTAGGTGCCACTTGCATTGTTCAGTAGCCACACTAGGGCTGTGTCTACACTCGTGGCTTCTTGCGCAAGTCATATGCAAATGAGGCGAAGCATGGACTATCACCCAGCCTCATTTGCATATCTAATGAACCACCATTTTTTTCAGAAGAGGCTCTTGCGCAAGAAGAAGAATCTACACTGCCCCTTGTGCAAGAAAACCCCTCTTGCGCAATGCTGTTACACCTATGACTTTTCAGGAAGAACGGCTTTGCTCAAAAGGGTTTTTCTTGCGCACGAAGGGGCAGTGTAGATGCTTCTTCTTGCGCAAGAGCCTCTTCTCAAAAAATGGTGGCTTATTAGGTATGCAGATGAGGCTCGGCGATATTCCACGCTTAGCCTCCTTTGCATATAACTCGCGCGAGAAGCCGTGAATGTAGACACAGCCTAGGTATGTGGGTTACATGTGCAATTCTCTAAACTGTGCGTGCAATTCTCTAAACTGTGCGTGCAATTTACATGCAGATATTTTCTCATGCAAGTCTGGAAATCGGGCTCTGACCTGTGTTGCTAACCAACAACATATAACCAACAACATATTTGTATATGGTGCTCTCATGCCTACTAACTCAATGCAATAGTCATGGGATTGCTGCTAAAAATGTTCATGGAACTGGGGGAAAAAATGCTAGCACAAGTTACCGGTGAACTTCCAAAGGTTGGGAGCCCAGTTTACATTCAGAGGAGCTACAAAAGTCTGGCTTCGATGAGTTTCTGGGCTGGAAATCTTGAAAGAACATGAAAGGAACCGATGAGATTCAAGATGGAAACGCTGCAAGCGGCAGCTCTTTAAAGCCCGTCATAAACGGGTGGGTCTCTCCGCTGCTCATTTGAGCTAATTCCTTAGCAATTTTGCTCTCTCTTGTGATTTGAGCCCTTCCAGAGTCACAGCATCGAGCAGCAACCCAAAGCTGTTGTCTGTGGCCCGATGATGGTGAGGATCGGTGCCCGGGGTCCAAAGCCGTTCTAGGATCTCTGTGCTCTTCCGGCCTAGGCTGTGGTGGAGTTTGTCTCCTTGTGCTCTGGGCTGGAGATTGTCACATCCAATAAATGAGACACTCCCAGTCTGCTAGGCCGCCTCCCTCCCTGGCTTTCTGCTCCAGAAAGCTGGGCAAGCTGTAGCCAAAACAGACTCTCCTGTGTCCTCCTCAGCAGGACAGACGTAAGTGACACTCCCAGGGACCCACCGCAGAAGTAAGCTCTGCCTGTCGCATTTCAGAGCAGTACAGCCCACCACGCGCTTTTAGGGCCCAACCTTGCAAAGGCCATGCGCATGCACGCAACTCCTTGCGGAGCAAAATGCTAAGCCCATGCTAGAACGGGGCCTTAGCTTTTCCTTTCATCCACTGCCTCATTTTACATTAAGCCAGCCTTCCCGAGGGTTACCAGACACTTTCACAAAAAATCCCAAACACGGCAGGGAAAAAAATTGGGGGACCAAAGATGTTCAGTCAAAAAAAAAAAAAAAAAAAAAAAGGGCGCTGCGCCTTTAAATCCCCACGCTTCGTTGGATGTGGTAGGGGAAGAATGTCTCCACCGGCCTTCCATCCAAGGAAAAACAGAAAATACATTATACATGTCTGGTATTCTCTGGGGTTTTTTTTTTTACCGGTCAGAGGCCACAAATACCAGACTGTCCAGGCAAAAACCAGACACCTGGCAACCCTACCCTTCCCTGCACTGAACACCTCATTTACACCCAAAGTAAAGTATGGGACACTTCCAGCTCACTCGTTAGCCTCGTTAGCACCGATCCTACAATTGGCAGGCACCTTCCCCCGCTTCGTTTTCTATTATAAATTCTGGGTTCCTGTTATTTTCACTCCAGCTCCTCTGAAGAGTTGGGTTGTGCCCCAAAAAGCTCATGATCCTGCATATATTTTTGTACATATCTAAGGTGCCACCGGATTATTTATTATTTTACATTGTTTATTGCAGGAACGAATGTGCCCCGCAGCCTAGTCAAGGGTTTAGAAACACCAAGCAAAACTCCTTACCCTGTGAAAACAAGACACAGCAGGGTACAAATCAGAATCAGCACCTGATTGAACATGGCGGATTGCGTCCTCTGGATCGCACGGTGCAGGTCATTCTGGAAAAAAGGAGACGTCTCACTGGGTGGGCGATGAGGATAAGCACATGGACGCGACACACACACACGCGCGCACGCAGGCACGGGGAAGCTTGCTGACTTCCAAAGGGTTGCCTAGGAAGCAAGTCAGGCAAGAACCTGTGCCTTTTCAGACAGATGTATTTCTGTAAGGCAGGGGGGTTCAAACGAGGGCTCATGGGCCAGGACTGAGCCATGCAATGTCAGGAACTGGGTCCCGTTACTGCAGGGGGATCAGGTGAGCAGTGGTGGGGGGTTAAAGCAACTACTTGCCTGTCCTGGTGCTGCAGACTGCGCTGCGCCCCAGAAGCGGTCGGCAGCCCGCCCGGTTCCTAGCTGGAGGGGAGTACATGGGGCTCCGTGCACTGCCCCTGCCCTGAGCACTAGCCCCACACTCCTATTGGCTGGGAACCTGCTGCCGGCTGTTTCTGGGGTGCAGCATGGTGCCAGGAGAGGCAAGAAGCTGCCGTAGGCTCCCCCCGCCCCCGCTGCACCACTGACCAGGAGGCGCTCAAGGTCAGCCGCTTCTGCCCCAGCTCTGACACCCCCAAAGCCGGAGCCCCCTCCTTCACCCCAAAGCCCTCATCCTCCGCCCCCAGCCCACACTCTGTTGTCACATTCTGTTGGGTCGCGGTATCGATTTTCTTCAACTGGGTCATGGTCTGAAGACCAGTGACCTAAGGAATAAGCATTGGCCTATTCTGTTCCCACCCTGCAGAGAGCAGCTCTGAAAACGGCATCGGGAGCCACCGTGGTCATCACTTCCGAATGCAGCTGAGTGGAAGGAGAGGGCCCAGTCACGCCCCAGGGCAGTCGTGCAAGGGATTAGTGCGGAAGAGACTGATGAGGAAGTGGGTCTAGTGACAGGAGAGATCCCGTGTGTGGAAGGTGAGAAGGAGGCAGTGAAGGCCCGGAGGACTGAGGTGAAACCATGAACAACACACACAGCACAGAGAACTGTGCCACATGGCTCGGAGCCAGATGCAAAGGACCAATCAGCACGCGGCTTGGAAGCATTCTGGGAACACAGGTCTTCAAGCATTCGTCCTCAGGGGCAGAGCTTTCAGGACTCAGATCGGCAATGGAACTCAGTCTGCATTTGGGCACCACGTAAATGGCCTGGCCAAATTTTCAGAGTTTCTAAATCTGGCACGACAGGTCAGAATGCGAGCTGCTGGGAGCTGGGGGCTTTTAAGAATTTGGCCTCAGTTGTGGGGCCTTGAAAACCTGGTCCTAAGTTTACATGTAAGTAACTCTCTTGTGTCATAGAGCACATCAGAGCCTGTTACCTCTTGACGTAAGGTGGAAACTGGAGAGCATTGGAGAGCACAAATGGGGCAGAGTTAAGGACGTCTGATAGTTAAGGACATCTGATATTTTCAGATTCTCTCTCAATATTAGGGTGAAACAAGCATCCAGAAAGCAATGGGAAGGAGACTGCCAGGCTGCTCTTCTAGCTACGGGAGAAGGGAGCGAATGACCTTTGGCTACTCACTATCATGTTTTCCAGGGCGTACTTGGCCAGCCAGCAGTTCAGAAAAACTGGAATAAACAGATTCCGTAAAGGGGACCAGAATATCTAGAAAAAAATAGTTATTTGCAAGTTTATTTGAAGAACCACAATGATCAATGATGCTTTATTTAATAAGTTATAAAAAGTTAATTATTAGCCCTGCTCCTTAGAAACCATTGGCTTCCCTTACTCCTGGCAAGAGCAAAAGTCCCGGCTGCCAGTGGGGACACCCTCTGAGTTTGATTTAGCGAGTCTTAACTAGACTCGCTAAATCGAACTCCGGAAGATCAATTGCGGAGTGAAGAGGTGGCCTTAGACTATACTAGCCAACTGCATGGTTATAATTCAGCGCCACTGCACTCCAGGTTAGATGAAAACACCCTGAAACCTGCCCATGATACGTCTCCCAAAGTTGCTGCCTCTGCTGGAGCGAAATTATGGTTACAATGTTGGTCTGAGTGGGTCACAATCAAGGCTGCGGAGCATCTTCCATACTATCCAAGAGTAATGCAAAACGTTCACAATCTGCCATGGAACCATGACAAAATGCAGCCAGTCTGCCTTAGGTGCGGAGGTGGAACTGAAACCAGCTGAATTCCATGAAAAGCATTTTTAAACCCATCCACAAACTGGACAATTTAAATAAAAACGAAAAATTTCCCACACAATGTCATTTGTTACTGGGGGAAAAAAAAAGTTTTGTGGGAGGGGGAGAGGAGTGAACCTTCCGTGAAGACTTCCCGTCGTTGGAGAGACACCCACCAATCATGGTTTCATAATGAAAATGTGCTGAATGTCGATTGGTTAAAAAATATCCAGAGCAACACACACTTACTGTGATGATAAAGGGCACCGTGTTGATCATTTCAAGGATGAATGAAATGCGAAAAATCTGCTCCCAGATGTTTCCCTGCAGAATGGGGACAAAAATCATCAAATTAAATACTGTTCCTTTCCTCTGGGGCATCTGGTATTGGCCACTGAGGGCAAACAGGACACTGGGCTAGATGGACCTTTGGTCTGACCCAGGGTGGCCGTTCTCATGTTCTTATGCTAGATCAAATCCACATCACTCAGCCCCATGCAGGATCAATCCTGTGCAGCCGGGACTCAGCACCAGCGCTGTCCGGAGGAGTCAGGAGCCCCCTGCCGGTAAGCGACATTTTATTTGCTGCATGAAACAAATGGACTTTTCTCCTCTTGCAGAAACATGCTCCCCACCCCCCTAGGGAAGAGCTCTGGGTTCAGCTCAGTGAGCTCGGGGATGAGCAAGACCTGGGAGACTTTCCTCCGCATTAGAGGTAAGAGTGATGCGGCAGGATTCAGATCCAGGCTTTTCACAGGCGGCTAGTCAGGGGCTGCTGGAATCTGTGATTGGTTCGGCTTATTAAAAAAAAAGAGACGACGAGACAGAGGCTGCTTGCAACCTCCCGGCCGGGTTTGAGTTTCGAGGGCTGGCCGTGAAGCTGCGTGGGGAGTGATTTGAGCAGGGTAGCTGCTCCAGTGGGAGCGGGAAGGAGAAGGGAGATGCTTCTGTTGCTTTCACGGATGGGGCCTTCAGCTCTCCATCCAGGTCCACTGTGCGCGGAGGGCTCTTACCTTGTAGCTGAGATAGATGAGAAGCATGGTCTCGAGGAAGCTGATTAAAGCGACGCTCACCTGGGAAACAAACACGCGCATCAAGGAATTTGAATCGTCTTGGGTTTGAGTTGACGCATCATCGACGTGGTTCTCCAGGTGTGGTCGATGGACCACTAGTGGTCTATGACCATCTTATAGGACCACGAGCTTGGGCCTCACCTCACTCCCTGCTGCTGGGAGCCCTGTGCCACCCCAAGAGGATGGAGCGCCAGCACCAGCTTCCTGCTGTGGGAGGGGAGAGCCTCATGGGCCGGATCCAGCTCGTGAGGGTAGGAAGTGGATCTGTGTGCTGCCGCTTCCCTTCCCCCTGGCTGGGGAAACAGCAGCACAAGAAAACTCTCGCCTGGAGGCTTTCTTGCTGCTCCTATTGGCTGGAGTTGTGGCCAATGGGAGCAGCAGGGGCGGTGCCTGGGACTGAGAGGAGGCTCAGAGCCAGGAAGCACCCCCCATACTCCTCACCAACACCCCGCTTCTGCACCCATCCTCCCACCCAGATCCCCCCACCCTCGGCCTGCTTCTGCACCCATCCTCCCACCCATATCATCAGGGGAGGTTGGCTGGTGGTTCGCAGAACGGCCTAAATTGAGCCAAAAAGTTTGAGAACCTCTGCTTTATGCTCATATGACTGCCCCCATGCTAGGGCCCGTGCCGTTGAACCACACTGGTACAGCTAAACAGTGCCACACTTGGGTTAGACAAATCTTTCGGGGGCAGCCTGGCTCTGCTGGTGACAAGAGGCGTTGGACTGCTGAGTTGAATGGAGATGGGATTTAAAAAAAAAACATTCCTGGGAAATGTTTCACCCCTAAAAGAATTCAGAGAATAAAAATGGCCAAACCTGTTGGATCCAAGACTCCATCCCACCCTGAGAACAACTAAAGATCAGAGACAAAATAGACGGGGGTAGTATTGTAGGGGAGGGGGAGGGAATGAATCTTCCTAGAGAGCCTGGACCCCTAAACTTATTTGGCTCCACTGTAGACCCCCATTCTCCCAGGCTCTATTAAGAACAGAGCTGTGGGAAACCCACACAGCTTAATCTTCGTAAGTATTTGCATAAACAGACTGGTCTCTTTCCCATCCGCATTGGTAAGTTTCCTTGCTCCTCACCATCTATTGCCCAGGAAAATCTGTGTCCTTTTGTTGTCAAGGATTTGTCCCAGGAAGAAAAGTGCTCAGAGCAACCCTGGCGACACAGAACAAACCTTATGCAAACTAACGACGGTTGATGGATCTTTGTGTGACAATGCCTCCTGGTCAGCTACTTACTTGTATTGCCCATAATGGCATTTTCCTGTCCACCCATAAGATTGGAGCCCTGTAAGGAAAATTCAAAATGATCCTGAATTGGAATCTGTTTCCAACAAGCCATTCGATGTTTTACCCGGCAAGTGTGATGTCCACGTTTAGGGCACGTCTACACAACAGAGTGAAAGCTGAAATAAGCTTCGCAACACGAGCGACGTCAATTGTGTAGCATAAGTGGAAAAAGCTTAGTTTGACTTTTGGCACCATCTACACAGCTGGAAGTCCGAGGTAGAGCACTCTTCCTCCGACTTCCCTTATTCCTTGTAAAATTAGGGTTACAAGAGTCGGAGCAAGACGTCTTCCAGCTTGACATTATTTCGACATTACGTTGTAATAGCTGCTTGCACTGTAGACACACACGATGTTATTTCCGAATAACACTGCTGTGTGGACGTACCCTTTAGTGATCTTTATCTTCCTGAAACTCATTATTACTATTCAAAACTGCTAAGTCTGCCTCCAGATCTGAGGGTGTGTCTAAACTAAATGGCTCCATCGATGGAGCCATGTAGATTAGGCTGATCGGCAAAGGGAAATGAAGCCGCGATTTAAATAATCGCAGCTTCATTTAAATTTAAATGGCTGCCGCGCTGAGCCGACAAACAGCTAATCAGTTGTTTGTCAACTCAGCGCACTAGTCTAGATGCTCCCGCACCGACCTGAAAGCCCTTTATCGACCTCCCCGTTATGCCTCGTAGGATGAGGTTTACTGGGGAGGTCGATAAAGGGCTTTCATGTCGACAGGGGAGCGTCCAGACTGCCCCGATCTGCCAACAAACAGCTGATCGGCAGAGCGGGGCAGCCATTTAAATGTAAATGAAGCCGCGATTATTTAAATCGCGGCTTCATTTCCCTTTGCCGAACAAACAAATCTACATGGCTCCGTCGACAGAGCCATGTAGTTTAGACGTACCCTGAGTTTCCTCAAAGTCTTTAAGACCTCGAGCTCGGTTCAGGCCCAAATAATTCTGAGTCGTTCCCTTTTGCAAAACGTCGGGAACAAAACTGTGAACCTAACGAAACTCCATTTGAAATCCCACACTGGGGCCAGATGTGTGAATCTGGGATGAGCTTTTGGCACACCTGAAGCAACAGACAGAGTCAGGTGAACACCTCTGAGGACTAAGCAGTTTGGGAGGGAGTCAAGGTTCTGAATGAGTTGAACAAGCAACTCTCAGGGCGCAGGAGGAATCAAACTGGAGAGGGCTCCGAACCCTCAACGATGTCTTGACAGTCGCAAAGCTCCCGAACAGAATGTCTGGGGAACTACAATTAAACTCAGGCACCTGAAACGCTACATGCGCCAGTGGGAGAAACTGACCGTTGGCTGGAACCATCAATTGGTCTCACTCCACGACAACTTTGTCCATTACACTTGGGTAGCAGAAACTAGACTGAATTTGAACCTCAAATCTGCCTACGAAACCTCTCACAGGCTATGGGCTGGATCTCACCCTAGACGACACAAACCCACTGGAGGTGAAATTAATTTCCTATGCACATCCAGTCCTACCCAGCAAGCAAGAGCAAGTGTGCTGAACTGTATTGGAGTGTGTTTAACAGATTATCGAGACTGCTCTCTGCATGGAGAATGACTCATTTCCAAAAGCAGAACAGTGGATGCTTTTCTAGCTGTGCATCTCAATTCCTCAAATTCTCTCCCTTATTTTGACAGCTGCATCTCAATGGACAACCTGTGGTTACGGGCAGTCACAAGCATCAGAAATTTACATTCCAGGTTTCCCCAACTCCGGGTTTGAGTGGAGCAGGATTTAAGCATTAATAGCAACTTACCAGTTTATTTCTGTGGATGACTGGTTGAAGGTTGAGTAACTCTGCTTTTCGCAACCCCAGCTAAGACAAGAGAAACAGAAACAGAGAGAGAATCGGTATGGTACAACAGACCAGCCCAAGGGGTTAGGGAGACATAAAGATAGTGCAAGTCACAGCCTGACGCTTAACTTCTTGAAACTGCTCCCAACCCATTGTTCTGAAAAGGAAAAAAAGTCTGGAAGCTGCAGAAACTAACGTGGCTGGTGGGTGTAGCTATGATTACATCTGATGAATGCAGCATTGGCTAATAATAACTATAATACCCAGGAGTGAGAGTGGTTTTAATCCAGGGGAGCAGAACCCATTGACTTCACTTAGGGCATGTCTATACTTACCATGCTGGAGATCGATCTTCTGGCATTCGATTTAGAGGGTCTAGTTAAGTCCCGCTAAATCAAGCGCTAGGGAGGCTCCAGCCAACCCAGCACCAGTACTGCTGGCAGTCGTGAGGCGTAAGGGAAGCGTTTGCTTCCATCTGCCTCCCTCTGTGAAGATAGCACCAAGCATGGCTTAAGGTAAGCTGACTCCAGCTACGTATGTTATGTATTTTATGTAGCCGGAGCTGCGTTCTTCAACCTGACCTTCCCGGTCTAGTGTGGACCACACCTTAGAGTTCCAGACACTGTACACCTATAAAAACGACCCCTGCCTCAAGTCTGGCTAACGCTGGCAATTTTGCTACACCACTCTGGCAAAATAAAATAAAATAAAATGCCAACCCACCCAGTTTGTCCCTGCTCTATCTGTGGAGATTGGGGCCAGAATGTGAGGAATGGGCCAACCTTGCCCAGCACCAGCATGGGACCCTTACCACCATCTCTGCCCTCTTCTTCCACAATTGGATTAGAGCTGCCTGGCCCCATCTCTGGCCCTTTGCTGCCCCCTCTGGTCATTACGCAGTATAACTGTCCCTGCTAGCAGCCCCCTCCCTTTCCATGTTATGAAAAACAATCACATTCCAGGCACATCCCATTGTGCTGTCACAACCAAACCCTGGCCTTGCTTTCGGCTATTCTAAGAGGAAGATGCACACCCAATTTGGTTGTTCTTGCTCTTACTGTTTGAACAAACAGATGGACAGACAGACTCACTCACTCACAAACTCTCTCAAATAAATAGTAGATTTCAAAAGGCCTCATTTTTGTTCCAATGAGAAATGAAAACATATTTCTAAACCTCCATTTTTTTTTGCAAAATGGAACATTGCTCTCCAGCCAGCCCTAGAAAACACCGCCCAAATGCCATTGTCTAGCAACACCATAGAAATGAATCTAGATCAGTAGCCTCCTGTGGCATGTTCACATCTCTGAATATAAAAGCCCTTCATCTCCAACTCTGCCGTGGCCTCAGCTCTGGAAACACACATCAAACCAACGATGAAGCAACTACATCGAAAGAAACATCAAGCCAGCATCGATCCATCATTACCCTCTACCTCTGGTCATGCCTCATAGCTGGTCGTGCCTCATCTAAAACCAACCATCGCCTTCCTGGGACATTCCTCCCCCTGGCCTTAAAAGCCAGACAATAATATTTTCAACCAGCTATGCTGAAGGCCTCTGAAACAGACACATTTTGATGGATCCTCCGTGGATGTAAATGGTCATAATTCTATGAGCAGTAGCGAAGCTACAAGTAGCACAAGCTGAAATGCTGTCTCTCTCTCTCTATACAAAGCTCTTTAAACGTCTCCCTGTTGCAGAGGAACAGAGTTGTTAGCCAGTGGAATGCATTCTAGGGGGTCCTAAGAATTATGAAGGGCCAGGGACTCTTTTATAGGAATTCATTTGATTGATAATACAGTAGATGGGTCCAGATTGACTCTGCAAGAATAAAAGAGACTCTGGGGTATTCGGTAGTCTTGTGTGTTCTAGGGCATCATTAGAATCATCATTGAGTGGCAGGGGTGAATTCCTATCTGGACTCATGTGGGATCAACTCTGGACTCGTGCGATCGTCTCTGATATACACGGTCAAGGCTGCTTCCCCACTCTGGCACAATGAATGCAGAAGTGGGGGCCCGCAAAAGTACCCCAAAACCTGCTCTCTCCAGGCTTTTGT